GTTTTGCTTAAAAATAAAGAAATTTTACAAGTTCGAGCTCAAGAAAGAACTCAAGAAAACCCGGGCCGGGATCGAACCCCGACCTTACGACTTAGAGACCATCTCACTAACCACTAGACCACCGGCACCCTTTTGCTTGCACTTTTAAAAGCGGCCTTTAAAGGCCCTCGGACGGTTTAATCACGAAGTGTGCGTACTCTTGACGTCGCTCGTAAGAAAAAACGGCGTCTGGCACACGGCCCTGGGGTAGAGGCAGTCGGAAACCGCCATCGCCCGGTTTAATTACCCAAGTTTAAAGTTTAATTCCTCCTTGCTTCGATTTCAAGATCACTTTTGTTTAAAAATAAAGGAAATTATTGTTTTATTTAAATTTAATTCAGATTTAATTTGTTTTATTTAATTAAATTTAGATTTTCTTTAAATTTCGGTTTTCTTCAGACTTTTTACGGTTACTGTAGCTATAGATTTAATTTAAAACCTCTTTTTTAAAAGCTTATTTTTATTCGTAATAAACGTAAACTACAATCGCTTCTAACTTTCTTCAAATCTATCTGATTAATATCAGCTAGAGCTTAAAAAATAGAGAATTTCAAGAGCTTTTCAATGAACTAAAGCACGTTTAAAAATATTGATTTTAAAGGGAATTACAGTGGTTTAAAGGAAAACAGACCGTACTCACTCGTAGTCGGGCTACAAATCACTGTAATTCCCTTTAAAATCAATATTTTTAAACATGCTTTAGCTCATTTGAAAGCTCTCGAAATTCTCTATTTTTTAAGCTATGGATCAACACGATCTGATAGATTTGAAGAAAGTTAGAAGCGTTTATGGTTCACATTTGTAGTTTTTAGTGCTTATTTCTACTAGATTTTAGCCAAGAATTCAGCATTTAGGCTTAGGCTTAGGCTTAGGCTCCGGTTTATAGTTTTTAGCGCTTAAACAAAGTTACAGTGGGTTATAGCCTGACTACGCGTGAGTACGGTCTGTTTTCCTTTAAACCACTCTAATTCCCTTTAAAATCAATATTTTTAAGAGTGCTTTGGTTCATTGAAAAGCTCTTGAAATTCTCTATTTTTTAAGTTTTAGCTCATATAAATGCGACAGATTTGAAGAAAGTTAGAAGCGTTTAAAGTTCACGTTTGTAATTTGTAGTGTGACCGGCTTTGTAACTTTGTTTAAAATCAATATTTTTAAACGTGCTTTAGTTCATTCGAAAGCTCTTGAAATTCTCTATTTTTTAAGCCATAGATCAACATGATACAATAGATTTGAAGAAAGTTAGAAGCATTTTTAGTTTACCACTTTGCCAATGTCATTGTTTATTTCTTTTGTGATTCTCTAGATCTAGGGCTTGAGTTTTTTTTGTTGAGTAAGCACTCAGAAAGATATCGTATTCTTGTTTATTTTTATTGAATCTTTCCACTTTTAGTGTGTTTCTGTGGGGATTTTTGAAGGGGAAAACAGAAACATTTCCGGAATGAAATGTTCGACTGCAAAATGGGGAAAAGAATCTGTAAGACAGGAGGAAAAGGGGGATCCGTTTCTCTTAGCAAAAAGGAATATCTATCTGTTCGATCAGCTCAGTCAGCCCATCTTCTTCCCCCTCCTTCCCTCTGCCTCTTCTTCCTCTTCTTCCCTCTTCTCTTCTACCTCTTCCTCACCTACCTCTTCCTCTTCTTCTTCTTCCTCTTCTTCCCTCTTCCTCTTCTCTTCTTCCCTCTTCCTCTCCTTCCTCTTCCCTCTTCCCCTCCTCTTCGATCACTCCCTCATCCCCTACCTCCTTTTGATTTATTGGATTGACTTATTTGGGGATTTAGTGTCGATTACTAATTACTTTTTATATTAAAACCACAAATTTTAGCTTATTTTACTCTTTTTGATCGTAGTTTAACTCTTTTTTTTACAACATTTTTCTTTTAACATCTTACTGTTAATTTTGTTAACTTATTCGGGCTTTTTTAACTCGGGAACTAGCCTATCTGATGCAGTTTTTCAAGCTGATTCCGAATCTGCAATCAATTTTCGCTAAACGCTTCTCTGTCGCGAGATTTATGGCATACAAGTTTGGGGTCTCTTTATGAGGACGACGCACTGTCTTCAGTCAACAACCTCGATGGTATAGTGGTTAGTGCGCGCGTCTGCTGGGCGTATAGTCTTTTGGACCCTTTTTGAACCCTTTTGGACCTCTTTTGGTCTCTTTTAGAACTCTTTTGGACCACTTTTGGACCCCTTTGGACCCTTTTGGACCCCTTTTGGACCCTTTTGGACCGTTTGGACCGCTCTTGGACCACTTTTGGACTCTTTTGGACCGTTTGGACCCCTTTTGGACCCTTTTGGACCGTTTGGACCCCTTTTGGACCTTTTGGACCGTTTGGACCGTTTGGACCCCTTTTGGGCCCTTTTGGACTCTTTTGGACCCCTTTTGGACCCTTTTGGACCGTTTGGACCGCTCTTGGACCACTTTTGGACTCTTTTGGACTCTTTTGGACCCCTTTTGGACCCTTTTGGACCGTTTGGACCGCTCTTGGACCACTTTTGAACCGTTTGGACCCCTTTTGGACCCTTTTGGACCCTTTTGGACTCTTTTGGACCCCTTTTGGACCCTTCTGGACCCCTTTTGGACCCTTCTGGACCCCTTTTGGACCCTTTTGAACCGTTTGGACCCCTTTTGGACCCTTTTGGACCCTTTTGGACCCCTTTTGGACCCTTTTGAACCGTTTGGACCCCTTTTGGACCCTTTTGGACCCTTTTGGACCCCTTTTGGACCCCTTTTGGACCCTTTTGAACCGTTTGGACCCCTTTTGGACCCTTTTGGACCCTTTTGGACCCCTTTTGGACCCTTTTGAACCGTTTGGACCCCTTTTGGACCCGACACACCAATCTGGCCAATCTGGCTTAGCCAATTTGGCCAATCTCGCCTAGCCAATGTGGCCAATCTGGCCCATCTGGCCTAGCCAATCTGACCAATCTGGCCTAGCCAATGTGGCCAATCTGACCTGGCCAATTTGGTTTAGCCAAGCTCACCAATCTGGCGTAGCCAATCTCTTCAATCTGCCTTAGCTCAATCATTATTTCCCTAGAACCATATCCAAATTACTCTATCACTTAAATCCAGATCGAGTTTCGTGTTTTCATATTTCCTCACCTCATTCCCCGTCCATACCAATCCTTTTCCCTTGCCTTGATGTGTTTTCTTTGAAGAAGGGCCCAAGAAAGACGAATATTTGATGTAATCTGCATAAAGATGAGTAGCAAAAAGGCGTGTTATCCAATATTTCTGACTGATTCCTTTGCAAGATTATCCCTTTTTTTTACATAATCTGATCTCAGGCTTGATTTTTGAGTCTTCTATCATTCTTTGCATTTTCACCATCCATGCACAAGTCGACTTGTGCTTTGTGCTTTGATAAACAACTACTTTCTGGCACACTATGTTCTATAGAGCCTTTTTTTCGATAAAAACCTTCTAGTTCTTTATTTACATTCTTTTCAACGTCCAATTAGTGAGCCATTTGAACGGAGAACTTGAATGAAATGAAATGAGATGAAAAAAAAACGATCATCATTTATTTAAAATTAGCTCTCTTTCATCAGTTAAATGTTTGAATTTAATAGAATGTACTTTTAAAGACAATTTACTTTTTCTACTAAACGTGAAAGGCGTAGGTTTAGGCTTAGGCTTAGGGCGAAAGCTTAGGCTTAGGCTTTAGGCTTTAGGCTCAGGCTTAGGCTTTAGGCTTAGGCTTTAGGCTCAGGCTTAGGCTTTAAGCTTAGGCTAAGGCCTAGGCTTAGGCTTTAGGCTTTAAGCTTAGGCTAAGGCTTAGGCTTAGGCTTTAAGCTCAGGCTTAGGCGTAGGCTTAGGCTTTAGGCTTTAAGCTTAGGCTAAGGCTTAGGCTTTAGGCTAAGGCTTAGGCCTAGGCTTAGGCTTAGGCTTTAGGCTTAGGCTTAGGCGTAGGCTTAGGCTTTAGGCTTAGGCTTAGGCTTTAGGCTTAGGCTTTAGGCGAAAGCCTAGGCTCTAGAGTTAGGCTTAGGCTTGGACTTAGTGCGAAAGCAAGCGGCTAGCGCCTCGCACTAAGTCTATTTGGGTTTGAGCTAAACCCTCATTTTCTGGATCTCGGCCTATTTTCAGAGCTAAGGGACAAGCGCTTGGCGATGCTCATGCGCCGCCCATAGGAGCATTCTAGCGAATTTTCAGCTCTCTGTCATGTCTTGAAGTTGAGATATAGAAAGTCGGTTTTGGGTTAGGCTTAGGCTTAGGCTTAGGCGTAGGCTTAGGCTTGGACTTAGGCTTAGGCTTAGGCTCAGGCTCTAGGCTTAGGCTCAGGCTCTAGGCTTAGGCTCAGGCTTGGACTTAGGCCTTAGAAACCTACAGTAAGCCTAAGCCTAAGCGTAGGCTTAGGCTTAGATTTAGTTACTTTTGTACCTTTCTATCTCATGGAATTCTTCCTTTTTCCTCCAGATGCCTTAGAGAAACCTTAGTGTATTAGAAAGGGTGTGTTTTGAGTCCAAAAAGCTCAAACATTGTACTACAAAGGTCTAAAAATTGTTCTTAATCAAAATTTGAAGAGAAATTTCTGCTCTTTTTGTAGAATTGTTGTAAACTTTTGTAGAGAATCTAGCAAAAAGACTTTCTGAATGAATTCTGGCTTCTAAAAACATTCTAAATGAATTCTGGATTCTAAAAACATTCTAAATGAGTTCTAAATTCTAAAAAATCTCAATGAAACGAAATCGATTAATCAGAGACATTCAAAAAGGAAAAGAGAAGAAAAGAAAGGAAAAATCTGTGAGAAAAAAGAGATTATTCAGATTAAATGAACTCTATTTGAGCTCAAATCCCACTAGAATCGATTCATTTTTATTTTTTTCTATTAAATATTTGATTATTTCAAGGAAATGCTTCTCTTTTTTGATGTTTTAACGAAATTGATTCGATTTTATTTCTGAATTTTTTCAGAAATTCGTCAAAAGCTTGCTGATGAGCGGGTGACGGGAATGAAATGCGCACAACGTTTACCGCACGACGCCCACCAAAAAAGGGTTTGTGGAAGGGAAAAAGTGGAGATTTGAGGAAGTTCTCGTAGCCAACTAACACTGGAATTGGTTACTGGAATTACCTAAAGTTGTTTAAAACATAAGCCATAGCTAATTGCCATCGCTAATTGCCATCGCCATAGCTAAACGTAAGCACAGCTTTTCTGGACCTGAGCTAGGCCAGAGCTAGGCCCAGCTAGGCCTGCAACTAGGCTTTCACTCAGGTCTAGCTCACAAAAGTTCCCTGAAGGGTTGAACCAAAGCCAAGTCTGGACTTAGAGACCTAGCTTCTGACCTAGCTTCTGACCTAGCTTCTGATCTAGTTTCTGATCTAGCTTCTGACCTAGCTTCTGATCTAGCTTCTGACCTAGTTTCTGACCTAGCTTCTGACCTAGCTTCTGATCTAGTTTCTGATCTAGCTTCTGACCTAGCTTCTGATCTAGCTCCTGAACTAGCTTCTGACCTAGCTTCTAACCTAGTTTCTGACCTAGTTTCTGACCTAGCTTCTGATCTAGCTTCTGATCTAGCTTCTGATCTAGCTTGGCCTTTAGACCTAGCTTGACCTTCTGACCTAACTTGGCCTAGACTTATTTCAAACCTCACGGAACAAGTCTGTGACCTAGATCTCCTTGCTTGGAGACCAAAAGTCAGGCCTAAACCTGGGTTGATAAGTCTGACTCACTTCAAGTCTTCAGCTCCGGGTTTGGCTTAGGCTGGATTAGGCTGGCTTGGGCTAGCCTGGGCCGGCTTAGGCCCGCTTAGGCTTGCTTGGGCCCGCTTAGGCTGGTTTAGGCTGCTTTAGGCTGGTTCAGGCTGGCTTAGGCTGGTTTAGGCTGCTTTAGGCTGGTTCAGGCTGGCTTAGGCTGGTTTAGGCTGGCTTGGGCCAGCCTGGGCCGGCTTAGGCTGGTTTGGGCTAGCTTAGGGTGGCTTAGGCCAGCTTAGACTTGCTTGGGCTGGGTTAGGCTGCTTTAGGCTGGTTCAGGCTAGCTTAGGCTTGGCTTAGACTAGCTTAGGTTTAAGATGGGGTTATATGCGGGACCTATTCTGCCAGCCAAGCCTAAGGCTAAGGCCCTGGCGGGCAATATCATCTGACACATTAGCCACAAGCTACTATAGCTTTCGGCTGCTTTAGAAAAGATTTCTATAACAGATTACAATAAACTGAAGTTCTTTTCAGCGTTGCTGCTCTCGGCTTGGTTGGCTTTGGCTTGGTGCACTCTGTTCACTACAGTTTGTGCTGCCGAGTACGACGAGTATGAGACAACGATCGAGTATCGAGAGGTGAAGCTTTTTGCTTCGTTTGCTAAAGAGTTTGCTAAAACGACTATCTGAAAGCTATGAAAATGTTAAAATTTGTTTAAAATTGGTGTTCAGCGAATTCGAAGGCACTACACATCACCACGATACACGAGAGAAATCGAAGAGGCGCCTACTGAAGTTATCGACTTTCATCAAAGGTTTTGTAATAGGGAAAAGATTACGGTATTTGATTTGATGATCTTTAGGGGATTTGATTGGGTTTGAATTGGGTTTAAACTGGGTTTAAATTGGGTGATTTGATTGGATTTAAACTGGGTTTAAATTGGGTTTAAATTGGGTTTAAATTGAGTTTAAATTGGGTTGTTTGATTGGCTTTAAATTGGGTTGCTTGATTGGGTTTAGATTGGATTTAAATTGAGTTTAAATTGGGTTGTTTGATTGGGTTTAGATTGGATTGTTTGATTGGGTTTAAATTGGGTTTAAATTGGGGTTTAAATTGGGGTTTAAATTGGGGTTTAAATTGGGGTTTAAATTGGGGTTTAAATTGGGGTTTAAATTGGGTTTAAATTGGGTTTAAATTGGGGTTTAAATTGGGGTTTAAATTGGGTTTAAATTGGGTTTAAATTGGGGTTTAAATTGGGTTTAAATTGGGGTTTAAATTGGGGTTTAAATTGGGTTTAAATTGGGTTTAAATTGGGGTTTAAATTGGGGTTTAAATTGGGTTTAAATTGGGGTTTAAATTGGGGTTTAAATTGGGTTTAAATTGGGTTTAAATTGGGGTTTAAATTGGGGTTTAAATTGGGTTTAAATTGGGTTTAAATTGGGGTTTAAATTGGGTTTAAATTGGGGTTTAAATTGGGGTTTAAATTGGGTTTAAATTGGGTTTAAATTGGGGGTTTAAATTGGGGTTTAAATTGGGTTTAAATTGGGGTTTAAATTGGGGTTTAAATTGGGTTTAAATTGGGTTTAAATTGGGGTTTAAATTGGGGTTTAAATTGGGTTTAAATTGGGTTTAAATTGGGGTTTAAATTGGGGTTTAAATTGGGTTTAAATTGAGTTTAAATTGGGTTGTTTGATTGGGTTTAAATTGGGTTTAAATTGGGTTTAAATTGGGTTATTTGATTGGGTTTAAATTGGGTTTAAATTGGGTTTAGATTGGGTTTAAATTGGGTTTAAATTGGGTTTAAATTGGGGTTTAAATTGGGTTATTTGATTGGGTTTGAATTGGGTTTAAATTGGGTTTAAATTGGGTTATTTGATTGGCTTTAAATTGGATTATTTGATTGGCTTTCAGATTACGAACACCAAAAAGCGTGCTTGATCCGGAGAGACCAATAGGTGAGTGCTGAATGATAGGTTGAGCTTGAGCTTGAGCTTTGGCCTAAGCCTGAGCTTGAGCCTGAGCTAACATAGGAGGACAACAATGAGCAGGAGAACAAGATAAGCTAGCTGAGATGAGCTGGCTGAGATGAGCTAGCTGAGATGAGCTAGCTGAGATGAGCTAGCTGAGATGAGCTAGCTGAGATGAGCTAGCTGAGATGAGCTAGCTGAGATGAGCTAGCTGAGATAAGCTATAAACTATTCGTAGAAACGGATAATGATTTCAAATAGGTTTAAACTCAAATAGATCTAAAATCAAATAAGATTTCGGTTTTAAAACATTGATATTTCCATCTTCTGATGTTTTGACTTTGTTTTGATGTACAGGAAAGGAAAGAAATCGAACCGGAACAAAGAAAAGCAGCTCTCATTCCGTTTGCAAGCCTTTTATCCACTAAACTATCGAATCACCTTGAAGAAAAGCGGTGAAAAACCCCGAAAAATCCGTTAGAAAACCCTCTAAATCCTCTAAATCCTCGAATTTCCTCCTAGGACTTTAAGCGCTTATAACTTTTGATATAGAGCTCGTTAGCAAAAACCGAAAGCAGATTCGGATTCAGCGTTTAATTCTGTATCGAATCGTTTATAGCTTATCTACTTTTGTCTTTTGATTTGTAAGAGAAAATCGAATTTCTAGATGTACCACCAAAATTGGTGACTGAGGATCATCCAATCTACATGGTGATTCCATTGCCGAGCACTGATGATATATCTGCTGGGAGAAATCCTTTCCGACTCAGCATTCCACTCGTTGAGCCAAGTAAGATGAGATAAATGAGATAAACGATAGATAAGCTATAGATAAGCTATAGATGGGCTATAGATACGCTATAGATAAACTATAGATAAACTACAATACTACAATACTACAATACTACAATAAATTTATTCAAAACCAATAATCTGATACAAACAAAGGATATATAATAAGAAATAAAGGTTTAAACATACAATTTTATAACACTGCGGCTGTCGTTCCTATCCCTTTAACCCTTATTACGCAAAGGTTGTGGGAAAAAGAAACATTTTGATCTTGTCTGTCACATCGAACTTTCGATCTTCCGCAGACAAGACTCCTAACCAAGACAAGACTCCTAACCAAGACAAGACTCCTAACCGAGACAAGACTCCTAACCGAGACAAGACTCCTAACCAAGACAAGACTCCTAACCGAGACAAGACTCCTAACCGAGACAAGACTTCTAACCGAGACAAGACTCCTAACCGAGACAAGACTCCTAACCAAGACAAGACTCCTAACCGAGACAAGACTCCTAACCGGTCGGCTATCTGGCTATAAAGAATTTGGAATGCTTCAGGAATTTGTGTGTCATCCTTGCGTATCATCCTTGCGTATCATCCTTGCGCAGAGGCTATGCTAATCTTTAGCTTTTAGTATGCGTTCATAGGAATGAACATAGGAATAATACAAGCTATAATATAAACTACCGTATTTTCTCTAATAGTAGTGCACCCAAGCGAGCCGAGTTAGTAACTATTTTACGGTTTCCAAGCTTTTGCAGAAGCTCAAGAGTCAAGCTTGCAGAAGCTCAAGAGTCAAGCTTGCAGAAGCTCAAGAGTCAAGCTTGCAGAAGCTCAAGAGTCTAATCCCTGACTAGATCTCATTGTCAGCTACATTTTCCAACCTCACATCGATAGGTTTTGATAAGCGGTTCTCGAGATTTTGATCAATTTCGAGCAAACGAAGAGTCTAAAGTTGGTCGAGGGGTCGAGGACGAGGGTCAACTTTAGACGCCTCGTTCTCAGCGTAATTTTGAGATATTTTAATGTTTAATATACGAAAAGATAGCCCTGAATGTCTTCTATACAAAGATATAAAAAGATAAGAATAATATTAGCTCTAGGGAGAGTTATAGACGATCAAAGCTGGGGTGGTTAACGTAGAAGCTATAAGACAAGCTAGAAGGCAAGCTATAGGATAAGCTAGAAGGCAAGCTAGAAGACAAGCTAGAAGGCAAGCTATAGGATAAGCTAGAAGGCAAGCTATAAGACAAGCTATAGGATAAGCTAGAAGACAAGCTAGAAGACAAGCTAGAAGACAAGCTATAGGATAAGCTAGAAGACAAACTTTTCTGTTAAACTCTAGTCTTAATCTATCGTCTAGTAGATTATCTTAAAAGTACAAGAACTTTGCACAAAAGTACAAGAAGTTCTTAAACTTTGGTTCAATCTTTTCTCAATCTCAATCTCAATCTTTTCTATTTCAGTAGTCGATCTTGCTGTTGAGTCTGTCTATAAACAGCAGCTTGTCCAACGGAACTCTATTCGAGTCATTTACAAAGTAAGTTGAGAATTAAGAAGATAAAATAGATAATGTCAATGTTAGCTTCAATCTTCTTTTTAGGATTCTCAAATGTCGGATGCTCATGGACCGAATGTGGCTATCGATATGCTCGTGCAGAACAAATTGGACGTGATCATCGGCTACGCTTATGTGTTAGTTGAATAGAGCTTTAGCTAAGCTTTGAAGCTAATAGCCAGCTAATATCCAGCTAGTAGCCAGCTAGTAGCCAGCTAATATCCAGCTAATAGCCTAGCCAAGCTAATATCCAGCTAATAGCCAAGCCTCGTTATTAGCTTCGTTTTCTAGATATGCTTTGGCGCCAGTTGCTCGAATGGCACCATTCTGGCGGGACATTGATTCGAATGGGATCCCGGTGATCACCCTATCGGACTCACTGGGAATCTTGATGACAAAAGGAGTATTCGATGATGACAAGGATCAATTCACCTTATAAAGTACTGTAAAACGACGGGTTTCTTTTCTAAAACATTTCTAGAACTAAAACCATTTCAGAACTTTCGTCAAAGCGTCGAGAAGCTTTGGGATGCGTACAATTGGACGACTACCGTTTTCATCTATCACGATCGAAGATTTGGCTCCGGATCTCTCGCAACCGGTTGGTAAAAGAAAAGGTTATTGTAGGTTAGGCTTGGGCTTAGGCAGGCTTAGGCTTAGGCTTAGGGGCTGGGCTTAGGCTTAGGCTTAGGCTTAGGCTTGGGCTTGGGCTTGGAAGCAGGCTTAGCTTGGGCTTGGGGCTAGGCTTAGGGCTTAGGCTTAGGCTTGGGGCGAGGCTTAGGCAGGCTTAGGCTTAGGGCAGGCTGGGCTTAGGCTTAGGCTTAGGCTTAGGCTTAGGCTTGGGCTTGGGGCTGAGGCAGGCTTGAGGCTTGGGGCTTGGGCTTAGGGCTGGGCTTGGAGCAGGCTCAGGCTTGTTGGAGCTTAGGCTCAGGCTCAGGCTTGGAGGCTTGGAGCAGGCTTGGGCCTAGGCTTGGGCTTGGGCAGCCTTGAGACCTACAGTAAGCCTGAGCCTAAGCCCTAAGCCTACAGTAAGCTAAGCCTCAGTAGGCCCGAAGCCTGAGCCTACTTTTAGTTGGCATATCAATCAAGGCAGGGGTGCTGTAGTTCTTCTAGGTCAGGAGGACTGTAATTTTTTTGCTGTAGCACAGTAGCCTTGCCCTACAGTTTCCACAGATTACTTTACTTTTTTAGGGTGCTGAACCTGGGCCTTGGACTTGGTCTAAGGATTGCTGTCCTTGGTCTAAGGATTGCTGTCCCTGGTCTAAGGATTGCTGTTCCAAGGCCTCGGATTATCCACTGTACAGGCCTAAGCCTAAGCCCAACTCCAAGCCTAAGCCCAAGCCCCGAAGCCTAAGCCTAAGCCCCTACTGTAGTACAGTGCCTATGTTCTTGTATGACTACAGGGTACTGTACTTTAGAGAAAATACTAGATACTGTAGCCCATTTTCCTTCCAGTAACCTTCCAGTAACCTTCGTAACCTTCCAGTAACCTGAAAGGGCTAAATTCACATTTCCAGTCGGGTGAATGCTACCTCTTGCTGACGACGGTGAAGATTTTCTTTAAAAAGCGGGTCGAAGCGCCCGCTCGTTCACAACTTTTTTGTCTTCAACGAGCACCGATCGACCAGGAAAGATTTCAAGTGAGTTTTGAATAGTTTCACTAGACTTTATAAGGACTTAACTAGTTTTTATATGTTATGATAGAATCCGATCAGATGAATTCTATCGTTTGGAGTCGAATTCTATCGTTCGGATCCGATCGTGATAACAGAAGTTGAGCATAAATTGTGTTTTGATGAAATTCTGGGAAACAAGAAAGCGACCAGATTCGATCAGATTCAAGAAATTGTTCAATTTCAGCTAATTAACCAGTTAAATGTTAGGGTTTAATGCTTTAATTAGTTCAATAGTTTAAGTCTAATTTAGGTTTAAGTCAGAGTTTAGGTCAAGTT